AGTCCTAGTGACTGGTACACCATCCGATCTGCAGCCTTATATGACTATGAGACCAGAAGAACTAGATGGTGCCTGGCTACCACTGTCATCCACCTGGAAGGAGATCTATGTAGGAGATCCTTGATAGAGAGGGAGAACAATGTGGAACAAAACTCAATATCATTTGGAGGGGAGAAAAGGAGGGGGGACCAGGTGTGCTGCCCCGATAGAGCCTGGTGGAACCACTGAGACTATGGCCCCTAACTGCCCTTCAGGTCTGGAATTGAACCCACACCTGTGGTTTCCAGCCAAACAAAAGACAGGCATATGACTTGAACCCTTATCTGAGGTAGATACACACCTTGGAGAGAACAATCATGAGAGAAAGAAGGGCTGCTTACGCACAGGGAGACAGCTCAGGGCAGGATTGCATGGACGGATGGACACTGGGATGAAGTAACTATCAGGAGGAAGTGGGAGGGGAGCTGTTACATTGTGGTAAACTGTGGTCAATATCATGAGACAGTATATGTGAACTGCTATATGGAAAGTGAATTTGCTCTGTAAATCTTCACTCAAATCACAATAAATAATAAATAAATAAAATCTTAAGATACTACAGTGGTTTGTAGCCCTCCAAAATCTTACCCAACAAAATTTTATTTATTTTTTTTATTTTTTATTTCTTTATTTTTCTTATTAGGGAAAATTTCAGTTAATTGAGTTTAATTGTTATTAGTTGCTATTGAGTCAGTTCCAACTCATAATGACCCTGTGCATAACAGAATGAAACACTGCTCATTCTGGCTCCATCCTCATAGTCATTGCTGTGTTTTGAGCCTATTGTTCTAGACACTGTGTCAGTCCATCCTGCTGAGGGTCTTCCTCCTTTTGCTGTCCCTCTGCTTTACCAAACCTGATATCCTTCTCTGGGACTGGGCATTTCTGACAACACGACCAAAGTACAAAAGGCGAAGTCTTGCCATCCTCATTTCTAAGAAACATTCTGGCTGTACTTCATTCAACACAGACTTCTCTGTTCTTCTAGCAGTCCATGGTATATTCAGTATTCTTCACCAGCACCATAAGTCAAAGGCATCAATTTTTCTTCGGTCGTCTTTACTCATTATCCAGCTTTCGCATGCATAAGAGGCAATAGAAAATACCATGACTTGGGTCAGGCACACCTTAGTCTTCAAAGTGATGTCTTTATCCTTTAAGACTTTAAAGAGGTCTTTTGCAGCACATTTGCCTGATGCAATACATCGTTTGATTTCTTAACTGCTGCTTCCATGGGTGTTGTGGATCCAAGTAAAATGAAACCCTTGACAACTTCAGTCTTTCCTCCATTTATCATGTTGCTTATTGTTGCAGTTGTGAGGGTTTTTGTTGTCTTTATGTTGAAGTATAATCCATACTGGAGACTGTAGTCTTTGATCTTCATCAGTTAATGTTTAAAGTCCTCTTCACTTTTCACCAAGCAAAGTGTGTCATCTCTATATTGCAGTTTGTTAGTGAGTCATCCTCTAATACTCATGCTGTGTTGTTCCTCTTACAGTCTAGCTTCTTGGATATTTTCTCAGCATACAGATTGAATAAATATGGTGGATACTTACCTTGATTTTAAGCCACATAGTTGCCCCTTGTTCTGCTTCCTGGTCTTTTTACAGGTTCCTCGTGATCACAATTAAATATTCTGGAATTTCCATTCTTGACAATGTTATCCATAATGTCTTAGGCTTCAAAGAGCCAATTGCCTTTGCATAGTCAGTAAAACACAGCTAAACATCTTTCCAAGATCCATCTGGCGTCACCAATGATATCCTTTGTTCCACGTCTTCTGAATCTGCCTGGAATTTCTGGCAGTTCCCTGTCTACATATGGCTGCAACCATATTTGGATTATTTTCAGCAAAATTTTACTTGCTTGTGATATTAATGATATTTGATAATTTCTGCATTCTGTTCAATCACTGTTCTTTGGGATAGGCACAAATATGGATCTCTTTCAGCCACTTGGCCAGGTACTTGTTCTCCAGATATCTTGGCATAGAAGAGTAAGCTCTTCAGCATTGCATCAGTCTGTTGAAACATCCCATGATGGGTATTCCCATGATTCCTGAAGCCTTGTTTTTCCCAGTTCTTTCATTCCAGCTTCCACTTCTTCCTTCAGTACCATCAGTATTTGATCATATGCTACCTCTGAAATGGTTGAACATCAACCAGTACTTTTTGGTACAGTAGCTGTATATTCCTTCTATCTTCTTTTGATTCTTCCTGCGTTGTTCGTTATTTTGCCTCTAGATCCTTCAGTATTGCGACTCGAGGCTTGAATTTTCTTTAGTTCTTTAAGCTTGAGAAATGCCAAGCCTATTCTTCCCTTTTGGTTTTCTAACTCTAGCTCTTTGCTTATCTCATTATAATATTTTAATTTCTCTTTTCAAGCTACCCTTTGAAATCTGTTCAGCTCCTTATAATTTATTCATTCACTTAGCTTCTCTACATTCAATAGCAAGTTACAAAGTCCCTTCTGACATCCATTTTGGTCTTTTCTTTCTTCCTTGTCTTTCTAATGACCATTTGCTTTCTTCATATATGATGTCCTTGATACCATCCCACATTGCATCTGATCTTCAGTCATTAGTATTCATTGTGTCAAATCTATTCTTCAGATGGTCTCTAAATTTAGGTGAGATAATTAGTAATAATTAAAATGCATCTTGATTGCACATTTGATCAGTTTCAGACTACAGAAGCTGGTATTGGTGATTACTGATGATTGGAATATGAAAGCTGGATATGAAAAAATATTGGTAGTTGGAAAATATGTCCTTGGTGATAGAAATGACATTGGCGATGTCGCATGATAGAATTTTGCAAGACCAATGACTTACTCATTGCAAAAATATTTTCAGCAACATAAACAGTGGCTATAAACATAGACCTCAGCAGATGGAATACACAGGAATCAGATTGATTACATCTGTGGAAAGAGGTAATGGAGACACTCAATATCTTCAGCCAAAGCAAGGCCAGGAGCTGACTGTGGAACAGACCAACAGTTGCTCATACAAAAGTTCAAGTTGAAACTGAAGAAAATTAAAAACAAGTCCGTGAGAGCCAAAAAAAATTTGACCTTGATTATATTCCCACCTATATTTGGAGACCATCTGAAGAATAGATTTGAAGCACTGAACATCAGTGACTGAAACCAGACAAGTTGAGGGATAACATCAAGAATATCATACATGAAGAAAGCAAAAAAAAAAAAAAAAAAAAAATGTTAGAAGAGACTCTGAAACTTGCTCCTGAATGGAGAGTGGCTAAAGCAAATGGAAGAAATTAGAAGATAAAAGAGCTGAACAGAAGATTTTAAAAAGCAGCTCAAGAAGACAGATTATTTTAGAAGAACACACATGGCATTTCTCAAGCTGAAAGAATGGAAGAAAACATTCAAGCCTCAAGTTTCAGTGTTAAAGCATTCTATGAGCAAAATATTGAATGATGCAGGAAGCATCAAAAGAAGATGGAAGGAATACACAGAGTCACTGTAGAAAAAAGAATTGGTCAACATTCAGCTGTTTCAAGAGGTGGCGTATGTTCAAGAACCAATGGTAATGAAAGAAAAAAGTTGAAGCTGCACTGAAGGAATTGGCACAGTACCCACTGAGATGTTTCAACAAATGGGTGCTACACTGCAAGCACTTCTCGTCTATGCCAGGTAATGTGGAAGTGGCCTCCAGCTTCATAGCAACATGCAAGCCACCACAGTACAAAAAACTGACAGAAGAGTGATGTTTTTTGAAGCTCATTTGAGGGTAACTTGCTGACCTATTGCCCTTTCATCTACAAATGCATGTTTCTCCCAAGAACCAAATACATTTAGTATATCCAATATTGGTTATGTTAACTGACTACTTAGTTACAGTGGTACAGATATCACTTAAAGACATCCCAGAGTTAAACGAAGATAGAAGGGATATCTCTGTAATTTCAGATGCTTCTAATGATTAGCCTGTTTGGAAATTTGAAACTAAAACCTGGATGAGTATTTTTTGGGCAAGTTACTTCCCTCTATTGAGATATGACCTGGCAGGCAGAGGGAGAGATCCTTACTAGTGAAGTATTGA